ATTCCATTCAGCGGCTCTGGGGTCAGTTTGTGCCGTATCCAGGAAGTCGTCTGTGGTTGCCAAGGAAACTTTCGCTTGCGAGCCCTCAGTTGTAGGTTTGAATGTAAATGTATAGACTATCTAGTGACACAGACGGGAAAATTCTGCAAAAGGTGATATATATTCTTATTATAGATATAATATTATATTTCCGTATACACCAGCATGTAGCTAGGTTACATGCTGCTTTATTTAGCGCTACTTAGAATATCTGGCTGTAGAGAAGGTACTGCTCACTGCTTCCCTTTTGTTTCACAAGCCGTTTTGGTGTTTTCAATATAACTTTAGGATTGTTTATTTTATACAGCGTGAGGCATGAGTTACTGTCTTGGGTCTGTGCCCCACGGGGTCAGGCCTGGTACAGCACGGGTCCTGGTGACTGAGCTGAGTGGTTCAGGCTCCATCAACCCAACTCCTGCAAGTAAACCCTGTGAGGACTCTGAAACACCAGTGGAATTTTATCTCTCCCCGGAAAAGTTGGTGGGTACCTTTAAATACAGTTAGTATTTATCACCGTTATAAACCTCTTATCATGTTGTTTATACGAATATGTATAAACACATTATTATTATTATATATATAATATACTAGTGAAAGCATTTAGTCAGTTTAGCATAATTCTAAATTGACAATAGCAAATGTTAGCATCTGGATAACATCTACCATATACATCTTGCCTGTATTATAATGCCTATTTTACTGAAATAATTCCGTTAGTGTTGTCTCTTATACTAATTAAAATCCTCTTTGATTTTTGCTTAAAAAGATTATGTTTGAAACTAAAATTGGGCAAAAAAAAAATTCTTCTTTACATCAAATCAAAGTCATGTTTGTTAATTGTAGCTACAGAATGATACAAACTACATAAAGTAAAGAGACAGTGCCCTTCTGCCCAGGTCAGCTTCTTATTCTCCTCCTACAGAAATTGCTGTGTGGCACACAAGACCTCTCTAATGTGACCTCACTGGAGATCTGTGTAGACACTCAAGAAAACACACTTGGTAACTTTGGTAAGACATATAACATGTCACTGATTAAATACAGTACTGTGCACTGTGCAAGTCTTGAGGCACCCTTCATTCGGTTATATTTTGCAAGAAATATGGGAAATAGGTGCAGTGATTCATTGAAGTATGTGCAAATATACACAAATATACACCATAATCAGCGTTTGTAATAATCTAACAAGATTTGGTCTACCAAAGTCAGTATTTAGCATGACCACTTTTATTCTTCAATACAGTCTCAACTCTCTTACGCAAGCTTTCTTGTCATTTCTTTAAGTAGTCTTCAGGGTTCTAGAAGGACATTTCAAAGCTCTTCTTGGGAGTTTGGCTGCCTTTTGTTCTGTTCTCAGTCAACACGATCCCACACTGCTTAGGTAATGTTGTTTTCTATCCAGGTATGCTTTTACAGCAGTGGCAGCATGTTTGGGATCATTAGCATGCTTAAACATGAAGTCGTTGCAAATACAACACTTTCCAGATTGTGATCAAAATTGGACCATATTGGTCTATCACTGGCTTAAATGCAGCTCCAAACCATGACACTGTGTTTTACAGATGTCTGTAGACATTCACTGTTCTACCTCTCTCTTGACCTTCTCCATACATATTGATGATGACTTGAACCAAAAATGTCCAATTTGTATTTATCACTCCATAAGGTCTGTTGCCACTAATTTTTTAGTCCAGTTTTTTGTGTAATTTTGCTGGATTTTCTTTCCAATTTCTTAAATACATGACTTGTTGTTACTGTTCCTCTGGTGTAGTTATTTTGTGGCTGTCAAACTGTGTTATCTTTTTGTAGACTCGACTAAACAAATGAATTGTTACTGTGACAGGCAGCTTGTAAAAAAGTCCCTAAATATAGAATTTAAAATAGGTTCTTTTCTAAATTGTCTGTTGTGTAAGTTGTGTGCAGACACAAAACTAGTTCACTTCTTGAGTTAGGTACCTTTTTTAGTTGTTGAATGATTCATAGGTCAGTGTTAAGTAGTTTAACTAAGAAAATGATCAAGTACAAAGACTGTACTGAAAATAAGTAAAAAAGCAGCCAGTGTCCCAAGAAAAACTTCAGAAATCCTAGAGACCTGTTGTTCAAGAATAATTAAATACAACAAAGTCTGGTTCCTTGAAGACAAAATACAAACAAATGAGGAATGGCTCAAGACTTTTGCACAGTACTGCAGCTGAATATGTAAAACAGTAAAACAATAGGTGTCTGTTTGTATGTGTACTTATTAGAACTCACTGTTAGTCAGCATCAGTGGTGTTATTGTTTTCTTTGTGTAGCCAAGGCTACAAAAAATACAGTAACTTTTATCTCATTTAAGTTCAGTTAAACTAACGAGCAATGAGAAACTGTTAACACAATTTACAGTAATGATTCATAACAGATACTTGTAATAATCACAACACAGAACGAGCAGACAGTCATAAATTTCCAGACCTGATTACCTCACAGGTGTGCCAGCCATCATTAGATAATGGTAGGGGGATATATTTACTATGACTGAGCTTTGTCCTCAGAAAAAATCCTAGATTGTGTAAGGCATGACAAACACTGTCTGTACATGTATGAGTCATGTTTTACCTGCCACTTCAGGGACGCTTTCTTTTCCTTAAATGATGCTGAACATCTGATTAGCAAATAAATCAGGTGATAAGAACGAAACCATGTTAAAATGACACCAGTGTTACATGAAAATGAGAAAAATCGTTTTGCTTAACTCATTTTCTTGCAGGTGTCTACTTGCCTGGATTAGTGCAGCTAAAAATGAACAACAGCAGGATCCTGTCAGTAAGGTAAGTAAGACAAAAATACCATCTTTTTGTTTACTTCAAAGTTTGTATTCCTGAGAAACAAATTTACAAAGTATTATAAATTATAGATTTCCAAGATGATACTGACGCTTCTGGTCATTTTTATCTTATTTTATACATGTTTCCAAAATAGGAAAACCCACATATTTTCTCGAAGAGAAATAAATATAAGTTGACCCAGAACAGAAAAAAAACATAGTTTAGTGAATGCTGTCGTGGTTTACTCTGGTCTTGCTTTGTGTCATTACAGGAAATCAAAAGTTATGAGCTTACCCAAATAAGTATAGTATGGCTATAGTGACAAGGTTTTGAAATAGGGACTTCCAATATTTATGTGTGGAAGATGCTTGTTGCAACTTGTAAACCAGACACCATGGAGGTGAGACCTGTGTACAGGTTTAGAGATACACAGAGAACAGGTTAAACCACCTTTCTCACAATAGTATACAGAGGGGTTCAGGTGCTATCAGATTTCAAAATCATGCATTTGATCCTCAGGAAGAGACAGGGAATATCTAAAGTTTTTCCTAGCTTGTCCGGTGATCATAGCTACAGCTGTTTCATCAAACGTATATTGAAGCAAAGCTACAAATAGTTGTCGCAGTAAGTGAAATGGAGAGAATATTTTTTACCATTACTGTGCAAAAGTCTCGACCCATCTCTCATTACTTTATATTTTGCTTCTCATGAGACAGATTTTCTTGTAAGTGGTCTATTTAAAAAAATTATAAACAATAGGTTATAAAGTGTTGCAAAGTTTTAATTTAGACATTGGCAGTTTTTCACTCATTTTCAGTCCATCGCTTACACCTAACCATTTTCAGAGGAATTTGTTTTTGTTTGTTAAACAACTTAACATAGAAATATGAAATATGTATTATTAGAGCATATAAAATGCACCCAACTGAAGGGATGAATGTGAATGTTGTGCACATAACAGAAAGTTTAGCGAAGGAAGAATTTTTGTATCTGTAGGCGCTCTGTTAGTAGCAGTCTGTCACAAAAAACATAATCTGTTCCCAGTTCTGTAGTTGTATCTATGAACAGATAATAAAAGATACCAAAAGATAACACAAGCAATAAAGTAATATATTTGAACCACCAATGTGATTCCCAAAGAGCTGTTAGCTGAAAACATGGCATATCTAAGCATGGTGGGCAGTGTGTCTTTAATTAAAATAAGGAAATTGGACAATGACACAAATGTTGTTTTGTTTATCTAATTATCTAATAATCAATATTTATGGAGGAGGACAGGAGAGATGTACAAGATGTTCGTGTCTACAGCCATCTGTAGAACACTGTGGAGGGCTCTGTCATGGTTTGGAGCTGCGTTTCAGCCAGTGGTGTTGGAAATCTCCCCAACACTGAAAGTGTTACGAGCACAGAAAAGTACCATCTACCTTGCAATGCCATCTGAAAATTGCTGGATTGACAACAGCTTCATGTTTCAACACGCCAGCGATCCCAAACACTGCCAATGCAATAACTGCAACACTGTCAGTCATGGATTGGCCTCCCCAGGTATAACAGACTGTATTTATGTTCATTTCAATAAATCCCTGCACCTAATTTAAAATTTTCCTAGCAGAATATATTAAAATGAAGAGTACTCTGAGACTTTTGCACAGAACTGTACACAGAGAAAGATAGTGAACTGTCTGCTCCACCCCGAGAGCACCACAGCAGAGCAGAGTCAGCCGGACATGCACTGGCTCTGATAGTATTTGCTGCTTTGGGTTGTGGGAGTTGTAGTGGAGTCTGCGTTGTAGTGTAAGGTACACTGACTGAAACTATTGTGGAAAGGTTCAGGCAGGGAGGAAAGCAGGAGACAGCGAACAGGACATAATTTTCACGAAGAGAAAGGAGCTGCAAGCTTCAGTAGCCAAGAAAGTATCCTTTTTTTAGCCGTGATTATGTAACTCTCTTTCCTGCCTCTAAATCAAGTTTGTGTTATTTTGTCTCCCTAGAGACTTGGGAACCACCATCTCCCAACTGCAGGTGCTATGGATGTCTCGGTGCTGCCTACGAGACCTAGATGGGATTACTACTTTCTGTGCTGTTACGGTAGACTTTATAGGTTACAGGTGGCTTTGTAGGAACTATTCAGGAGCTTGGTAGCTTCTTTCTTTTCTCTTTTTGCAAAAGTTAAAAAATGCGTGTACGGAACAAAAAAGAAATTGTGTCAAGGATTTTTGGATACATTTCAAATAGGCCTTCATACCTCAAACATTAATTTCCATTTGTCACCTGAGTGACCCATTTTTACCCAAATCATTTCCACGTTTTTGCGGCAAATACTGAACGTGCCTAGGTAGTAACATATGATTCAAGTAATTGAACTTCCGCTGTTTAAAACGTCCAACTGTCTGTGACATGGGACGATACCACAGTGTGACTTGGGTCCAACATGTTTTTTTTCTTTAGTGCATTTTCCTTCATTAATTACACATTTTCTACCACTTAACACTTATTTCCTGTCCTTCTTCTCAGGAGCTGTACTTGTCCTATAACAACGTGTCAGACCTGAGTCAGGTTGGCATGCTGGAGAACCTGCAGCTGTTAGATCTGGAAGGGAATGACGTGGATGATTTAGTCGAGGTTCAGTATCTCAGTTTATGTAGCAAACTGGAGAGACTTACCCTGGAGGGAAACCCTGTCTGTTTATGCCCAAATCCTACATCAGCTCAGGTATGAGTATTATGCGATGTGTTTGTCCTTTGTTGTTCAGACTTTAAGCGGATGCTCCTATTGCGATTAAGATACCCAGTACATCTTGAAGCAACCGCTGTAGAGTGGTGCAATGCTCAGAGTGGCAGTCTGGCAAAAGATAAAACGAAACCAAGAATGGTTGCAGCTGAATAGAGCTTGAGCAAGGAGCTGGGCAGAGTTCCTGAAAAGGAAGTGTTGTATTCATCTGATGTTGTAAATGCCAACTTGCAAATGCAACTTGTGGTTCTAATCGTTCAACAGTCTCGCCTGTGCTGGCTGCCAGCCCCGAAGACAGATAATCTCTAACATGTAATCAGTTTGTGCTGAGACATGAGAGCATGTGTGCGATTGCAACTCTCTGTATGTGGGTCCTTAGCTCAACAGAAACACTCTGCTAGAGCAGGAGACATCAAAATACTCAAAAATAATTAGACATAACATACTGTTGAAATAGTATGTATGTAAACATCAATGCTTTGTTTTTATGTTGAGGAGCATTTTTTGGTTTCTGTGACAAAGCCTTAAACAGCTTATCATGGGCCAAGTCAGTGAAACTGATTGTAGCTGGGTACACGGCAGAAGCTGCAGTGAGCTGAGTTTTTTGGGCCACTGTGAATGTGTTTATTTACACCCACCAGCAGAGCATTAATTAAGAAACTAGGGCAATGAGGAGAGATGCTGAGCTGAATATGCATTAGGCTCGTGCTTTGTAACGACTGAGGGGGTTCTTGGGTTTACTCCCTTGCCAAGTGATCACTCTTCTTGCGCTCTGTCTTTCTCTCACTTCCTCTTATTTAAAACTTATTCTCCTCCTCTTTTCTCTCATTTTCATGCTTTTGTTTACAGGCCTCTCACACTCTCCTTTTCATTTTCTGCATCTGTGTGGTTTGGTGAAACCAAAGAGAGGCCAGCGATTCACTGGCCTCTCTCTCGCTCTCTGCTCTCTTCCGGATGATAAAAGTCTAGAATTTATAGTGCAAGACTTTACAAACGCTAGTTGTTAAGAGCTGGGATCAGCTAATGCTGTCTGGCACCCCCTATTTAAAAATACCACGTATTATTAAAAATGTTCCTGTTGCAAAAAAAAAAGAATTTGAATGTGATCTTGAATCTCGTCGTACACCTTGGCTCTGTCATTTTCTCTTGTTTCGTTCCTCCTGCCCAGATGGCAGACTACAGTTACCGGGCAGCGGTGAGGGAGCTGGTCCCTCAGCTGCGTTACCTTGATGATGTAAAGGTGGAGGAGGACAGGCTTAGCTGTTGTACCACCATGGGAGAAGACTGGGACATTCTCAGAAACTCCATCAGAGATTCTAACTCCTCTTATCCTGCTGGTGATGGTGTGTGTGTGTGTGTACTGTTTTAAATCCATCAACATGGTCCAGATATTCAGATGACAATTTAACAAACACCTCACTTTTGTCTTTGCAGAGGAGACAACCGACAGTGTACGTCCTTACAGCCGACCCAGTTCAGCCACATGCCCTTCTCCCAGCTTCTCCGGTGTCTGGGCCATGTCATCGTCAGGCACCAGACCACACTCAGGCTCCAGACTCATGTCAGCGATCAGGCCTGGAGTTCTCTCCCCTTCTGGATCCAGACCTGGTTCTGCAGACTCAGATCTGGCAGTAGTGGAAGCTGAAACCAGCGCTCTGACTCACAGTTAGGCACTCCTGTGGTTGATCTCATTAGTCTTAGTGTCATTTCCATTTTATTTTGATTAGCATTACTCTGTGCAGGTGAACTGTTGGAGCAGTAAAAACAATCTTTGCTCAACAGTGCCACCAAGAGGACTTAATTGTGCCATGAAATAATGACAGTTTCAATCACTGATGCCTGTTTTACTCTGTCAATTTTTGAAGGAGCAGGTAACATCGTCTTCTGTGGGAACCCAGTCCAGGCTATTCGAGCAAAGCGACAAAAGTTAAGGGTAAGTAGCAACAAAGTCTTGCGATGCAGTGGAGAAAATGATTTGATCTCACTTAATAAATTATGAGATGAATCCATACACCACACGCTGTGATCCATATACATGAGTTATTTCTGTCTCGCTGTTCCCCATAAAACAGAGTCTTCATTGTCCACTAAGAGGAACAACAAGCTTTATGAGCTTTGACAGGCCATTATGAATGCCTGGCACCAGCAGCTCGTCTCTTTAATGCCATGTCAGTATAAAAAGAATCAGCTAATTATTATCAGGCAGACAAACAACCTGAGAGGACAAGCATAGTGAGGGGTGATGGAGATGTGAGAAGGGTTGTGTCAGAAGAAGTTGACAGACGGGGCTATCACTGTCATCACTCTCCGATCTGTTATAACTGGCATAAATACACCCCACCACTGTCACTCTGCATCTTATTTAGACATTTCTGTCTCATTCAATCTGCCCTTGCTGTGTTTGTTGTTCCTCACTGTTCTTGCTATTCATAATTAATATGCTCTTAGGCCTCTATTACTTTAAGTTTCCTACCATCATCTGTTACCACTCATGCTTGTTGTGCCTCTCTACTGTCTGATAGACAGCACCCACCAGGTCTACTTTCACCCCCCGAGACTTTCCCATTCACGTACCAGAACACACATATGACCTCGAGGAGCCTGATCTGACAGAACGTGCTGATGTCTTTGCAGAGCTCAGAGCTTGGAGGGAGCAGCATAGCAGGTATTACATGCTGAATTACTTTTTTTAAAAACACATACATGTAAAAAATAATAAAAGCTACATTTTAATCTATATCTTGCCATTACTGGCCATGCAATAGATTAATTGCATATTAAAACAGTTGTCCATTTGAATACCATCAGAAGGCTGTGGAGGATTTCACAAATACCTCTTCACAGCCAGTTAAAATTGCAGAAGCTGT